GTCGTATATATATATATATATATATATATATATATCACATGTAAATGTACAATCTAGTAACGATATTTCGGCTAGTTGAATGAGGAACGGAGCTTGCTTCTGCTCCGTCTAACTCAATGACAATATACCCAATTGCAAACTGACAGTGCTCTTATTTATACTAAACGGCGTGCAATGTTGAAACGACATGGTAAGCAGTTCTGAGTCAGAACAGGGTGGTGGCATGGAAGCAAAGTATCGAATATGCGTTGGCGTTTCACCTGACTGGCCTCGAAATAAGACTTAGTCAAACGCAACAGGGCAAATGTACGCCAAAGAGCAGTGGCAGCTGGAAATGACGGCAACGATCAGTCTAGGCTGAGGTGAGTCTGTTCTGTAAATGATCAAGGTGGCCAGTGTTTGGTCAATTCAATTGGCTCTTGATTTTCGATAGAACGGTTTGCCGAGCCTTGGTGCGTGGGTCTTGTTAGGCTTTGCACAAATCGACCTTGTGCAGATGGTCTACCAAGATCTGGAGATTGGCAAATCAACCAGCAATCTATATATCCAGTGCCTATTATCTCTCGCATAGAGGTATTAATAATTATGATGAGCCTCTGCTTATTACTTCCACAGCGATTTAGACAATCGAAAGCAAAAAAATTCCAAACTGTCGGTGGCCGCTTCTGCACTGAATTCTACCTACATATCGTCGGTGCACCCACAGATGCGTCAGGCAATGCAAGCCACATCATGCCACTGCAAGGGCAAATCTTTGGCTGCATCACGGTCCGATACCGTCAACACGGCATGTGCCGCCTTGTTGCGTGAGGCCGTCTTTCCTGCCAATATAAGCTCTGCATGCAATGTTGGACTTTGATGAGGGCATTGGCGTCCAATCGCGCAGCTTTTATTGACCACCCTCCCCAATCAAGTAAGCTCAGCATACACATCTGTCCCAGGCGCCCCGCCACATCGACTCATGGCCCTCCGGCTCCGGCGCATTTCCCACGCCTTTCCGGTAGGCACATGAAAATTACAGTCAGTCAGTGTTTCTCATTCTTGGCGGGTATTTAGAAAAATTTCCAATCTTCATACATGCCACCACCACGACGCTCTTGCGCAGCTCTACAGAAAAGAAAGCTGCATCAATCCATTTGAAACCAACCTGTTGTTCATTTGTTTATTGTGCACGTTCCTATATACCCTTTTTGCATCATGGCTTCGGTACGTCAGGCCAGCTCTTGCGGCCCTTACCCCGCGACATTTTTTTTTCTCGGCGACTTGATGGCGGGGTGACTGACGTTTGCGCTTTTCCGCGATGCAGTTCTACATTGAAAACAAAAACGTCGGCAACCAGGCCGACTCTGAAGATTGGAGAAGTACGTCTTTTTTTTTTCTTTCCCTTTAACCACCTCCTTGCCCCAGTTTGCGCATGCTAACGCAGTCCCTGCCCAGTTCGCGGCTACAACCCTCTCACCCCTCCCGATCTGCTTCAGCACGAGATTGCGCAGACGCCCGAGTCGAAAAGGACGGTGCTCGAATCCCGCAATGAAGCCGTCGCCGTTGTCAACGGCACCGACGCCAACAATCGTCTTCTCGTAGTTGTCGGCCCCTGCTCTATCCACGACCCCGAGGCGGCGCTCGCTTACTGCGACCTGCTGCTGCAGGCCAAGGAGAAGCACAAGGACGAGCTGCTCATTGTGATGCGCTCCTACCTCGAGAAGCCGCGCACGACGGTCGGCTGGAAGGGCCTCATCAACGACCCGGACATTGATGGCAGCTTCAAGATCAACAAGGGCCTGCGCCTGGCGCGCCAGCTCTTTGTCGACCTCACCCACAAGGGCATGCCCATTGCCAGCGAGATGCTCGACACCATCTCGCCCCAGTTCCTCGCCGACCTGCTCTCCGTCGGCGCCATCGGCGCCCGCACCACCGAGAGCCAGCTGCACCGCGAGCTCTCCAGCGGCTCCAGCTTCCCCGTCGGCTTCAAGAACGGCACCGACGGCTCGCTCGGCGTCGCCATTGACGCCATTGGCGCCGCAAAGCACCCGCATCAGTTCCTCTCCGTCACCAAGCCCGGCGTCGTCGCCATTGTCGGCACCACCGGCAACGACGACTGCTTTGCCATCCTGCGCGGCGGCACAAAGGGCACAAACTACGACGCAGCCAGCATCGCAGAGGCCAAGGCCGCACTCGAGAAAAAGGGCGTCCGCCAGCGTCTGATGGTGGACTGCAGCCACGGAAACTCGCTCAAGGACCACAAGAACCAGCCCAAGGTTGCCGCCGTCATTGCCGAGCAAATTGCCAAGGGCGAAAACGCCATCATGGGCGTCATGATTGAGAGCAACCACAACGAGGGTACGTTTTTCATAATTTCCCAACTTATAGTTTTTCTAACAATGGACAGGTAGCCAAAAAGTTCCCGCCGAGGGCAAGGCCGGTCTCAAGTACGGTGTCAGCATCACTGATGCTTGCATTCATTGGGAGGATACTGTCAGCGTTCTCGACAACCTTGCTGATGCAGTTAAACAGCGTCGTAAAATTCTGAATGGATCTGCTTAGGCTTTTCAATATGTTTTGGTATCGTTACGCATGTCATGATGGATTGGATCTAGGGAATTACGGGCGATTGAGACGCCACGGGATGACAAAAGTTTTCTTTGTTACAGTGCATATGCTTTGACTCGATACGACCAAAAGCCCAGCGCTTGAATGAGTTGGAAAAAACCATGTAAAAGAATTAAAGTCTGCCTCAAAATTGGCCTCTGAAATGATCATCTGTACTTTAAATAACTTTTTCCGCATTTGTAGTTGTGTCACGGTGGCCCGCTGCCTCGCCGAGCCAGCAAAATTGGGCCAATGGAGCGCCGTCTCGCAGCAGCCGGCGCCATGGCAGCAAACACGATCCAAAAGCGCATCATCCCCCCCTTGACGCACCCAACATCTCCTGCTTTGCTATTTATCCATCATCACCGCACACGACCATTGACGCAATTATCCAACCACCGACGCTCTTTTTCATCTCTGGGAGCGCAGCGCTCATCTTCCCGCATCGCGTGCCATTGCGAATTTCTAGCAAGCCCGGCTCGACGCGAGTCGCACCGCAAACTCGCCTCAATTCACCCATCCATTCCTTGCTATAACAAGTTGCCATTCTCGCCACGCACACGGCCATGGCCCGCGGCTACTCGCCCCCCGAGTCTCCGCTGTCCTCGATGCGGTCCTCGGAGCATTCCGATGATGACGGGCACGACTTTGATGACGCCTCGTCGCGCCCGTCGAAGCGGCTCAAGGTCGACGGTGCCTCGCGGGCGTCGCGCGCATCTTCCACTGCCGTCCACGACGTCGAGCCCGACCAGGACGTGCCCGAGCCGGACCCTCTCGAGGGCATGTCGGACTTGTCGTCGGACACGTCGGGCGACATCCCCAGCTCGCCCGTCAACGCGCGGCTGGACGAGGAGGACTTTCAGGACCAGGTCAGCGTCTGCGACTGGGACGGCTGCGAGGCCGGCGACCAGGGCAACATGGACCGGCTGGTCGAGCACATTCACAACTCGCACATTGAGAATCGCCAAAAAAAGTACACGTGCGAGTGGAAGAGCTGCCCCCGCAAGGGCCTGACGCATGCCAGCGGCTATGCACTCAAGGCACACATGCGTAGCCACACGAGGGAAAAGCCTTTTTACTGCTACCTGCCAGGTGCGTCTCGATACTTTTTTTTCTTTTTTTTTTATCCTTTTCTTTGGTTTCCTCGATGGATGACTGACCAAAACTGCTGCTATAGAATGCGACCGATCGTTTACGAGATCTGATGCCCTCGCCAAACACATGCGCACCGTCCACGAGACGGAAGCCCTGCGCCCCTCGGACCCCGTACCCAAGTCCATGCAGGCCGGTCCGCCCGGCAAATCGAGCAAGCTCAAAATCATCATCAAGACGCCGCAGTCGCACAGCCACGGTGGCAGCGGCGTCGTCGGCGGCGAGGATGGCTTGGACGAGCTGCCCGGCCACGGCGAGGACGGCAACGCCGACTACTTTACCGCGCTGACGAGCGAGCTCTTCTCGGCCGACGAGCTCGCCTTTTCCGTCGACAAGCTGTACCGCAAGTGCTTCTGGGAGGCCAAGTGGGCGGACGAGGTTGGCGCGACGCTGCAGCGCGAGTGCCGCGAGTGGGAGGAGGTATACTACAAGGAGTGGCTTGAAAAGGAGACGCTGCTGTCGCAGGTCATCCAGAGCGAGGTGGACTGGCACGAGCGCCGACAGGCCATCTTAAAGGGCGAGGCCGACGTGCATGTCGGCAACGGCGCGGCAACGACGGTGGAGGCCGGTGTTGTAGAGGAGAGCAGGATGTCGACGGAGCAGGAGAATGGCGTTGCGGTAGGCAAGAGTGCGAATGCTGCCGCTGCTACTACTACCAAAGCAGAGGTCGTCGCCGCTTAGGGACGGCGCGGCCGCCACTTTTACATTGATCCCGCGTCGGTTTGGCTGTCGGAAGGATACAAGAGGGCTAATAGCATGGCACGTCAAGTCTAACGAGCCAGCCGTGCAATTCTTTCTCTACCTAACCTACCCCCCCTTTTTCTATCTCCTTGTAACCCCCATGTACTTACGTAGCTAATGCATAATTGCCGCCGCACACTGCACCTCTGCGTTCTTTGTGATGCAACAAAACACACTGAAAAAAAGAAAAATTTGACTCTTGCCTCGGAGCTCACACTACAGCAAAGGCGGTCTACACGCGACTGAATGTACAACAAAAAGCTTACGAATAACGGCGTGAGTGTGCTTGATTACGCGGGCAGCCCCCCGAACGATTTGACAGAAGATGGGCACTTGGGGTTTTTTTGGTCGACAAGAGAAACACGAAGGAAAGATTAGAGCTATGGATCGCTGCTCTCTCTCTCTCTCAACTAGCAGTTGAGGAGTTGTCAAGACATTGCAAAAATTTGTGTTTGGCTGTCCCAAGATTTGCACATCCACGCCAAATCATACATGGGTATAGCTCTGAATTCACGCCGCTTTGCCGAATCCCGCCCCAAGCCAACCAAGCCAACCAAGCCTGGCATGCCAGTCAACCAACCCTCTTTGACACAATTTGGAGATGCATGCTTTGGGCTTGCCAAAAAGATTCCAAAATGAAACCATCTGTCAAGGATTGAGCCTTGCTGCTGTTCACCCAGTCAACTCACCCCCCGCGCCGCGCAGCTTGGTCTCGCCCCACATTGCATCAACCAGCAAAAATCGCGACTTGCTCAATCTTTTGCACTTTTGTAGAATCGACTCCCGCAAAACTCAAAAGCTGAATACCATTTCACACCAAAATCTCTTTTCATCACTGTGTCAGATTGATCAATTCAAAAGCCCCAAGTCGACCCTCCTCAGGGTAAAAAAAAAAAAACATAATAGCCATGGCCGACGTCGAGGCAGACAAGCTCGTCATTTCCGACGATGAAAACCACCCCGCCAACCTCATCCCCTCGCTCTGCGCCAAGTTTTGGACATTGGGCTGGGTGACGGGCACCGGCGGCGGCTGCTCCATCCGTAACGAGTGCGTCTTTCTCCCCTTTTCTCTTTCTCTTTCTTTTTTTGTTTCTTCTTTTCCATCCCACATCCTCAAACTCGTTTCCGCCCATGCAATATCTTTGCCTGCTGCCCCTCCCCCCGCTCTTACATCCCGCCCCCAGCTAATTCAACCCTCCCGATGTCAGCGATCTCGTCTACATTGCGCCCTCGGGCGTCCAAAAGGAACTCTTAAAACCCCTCGACCTCTACGTCCTCTCCCTCTCCGCGCAGAATACCCCCGAGCGCACCTATCTCCGCGCGCCGCCGCGCTACAAGCCCAGCCAGTGCACTCCCCTCTTCCTCGCCGCCTTTACGCGCCGCGGCGCCGGATGCTGCATCCACACGCACTCGCAATGGGCCGTCCTCGTCACGTTGCTCCTAGAACAGCAGCAGCAGACGCAGCAGCAGGGTAATGCGCGCGTTTTTGAAATTAACAATATTGAGCAGATTAAAGGCTTTGGGCGCGGGTTTCAAAAGACGGGGAATCTGGGGTATCATGATACTTTGAGGATACCCGTCATTGAGAATACGCCGCATGAGGAGGACTTGACGGAATATCTCGAGGCGGCCATGGAAGAATACCCGGATACGTATGCGGTGCTGGTGCGCAGGCATGGCGTGTACGTATGGGGGGACAATGTCCACAAGGCCAAGACGCAGTGCGAGAGGTATGATCAACCCCGTAACCCTTTTCTCTTTTCTTTTCCTTTTCGGGAATAACACGGCTAATGGGTGCATGTCTGGCCAGTCTGGATTATCTCTTCCAGTTGGCCGTCGAGATGAAAAAGCTGGGCATTCCCTGGATCAGCGACATTGCTCGCATTGCTCCTGATAGGACGTAGATGGGGTGCTGCTTTCACCATGTGCTGTGTTTTGAGAATGAGGGGAGTGGGAGTCACGGGGAGTTTCATCAACAAAAGCGTTGCAAAAACGTCAAGAGTGTCTCGCCTTCAACAGGGCAGAGACTGGGCATCTTTCTTGGGTCGTCATTATTCATCTTTGGGAGTTTTAATGTACATATTCGTCAGTCAAGGAACACTTTTATAATTCGTCCCTTTGCAGCACAGGCTCCTCCTCTGTGCTGGCGTAAGTGCCTTGACCTTGCGCCTCTCCCAGAGGTTCTTCATCACCCGCCGACTCGTCTTGGGCGGGCTCACTCGACGCCTGTTCCAGCACCTCTGCTTCCTCAACCGCCTGTTCTGCCGCCTGTTCTACCGCCTGTTTTATTGCCTCGCGTACAGCTTCCACCACCTCTTCCTCCTCATCCATCTTTCCGTCCCTCGACACAACTTTTACCGTCGGCAGCGCCTCGTCCGGCATCCCCTCAGCCTCCCTCTTGTCCTCTGTCACACCACCGCCCACTGACCCTTCTTTGACCACGTCTGCCGGCGCCCTCCCCTTTGCCAGCACCGCCCTCGTCGCCGTGCTTCCGACGCCAAACAGTATCCGCAGCGGCAGCAGCACCAGCCACCACAGCGGCCCGTACAGCAGCCTCCGAAATACCAGCCACGCAGCCGTGGTGGCGAGCATGTAAAACGCCGTCTGCAGGTACCACGTGTCGCTCTTTTGCGAGCGCAGCAGCGTGCCGAGCAGCTCACGCGACCGCCCCAGCATCGAGTCGAGCGAGCCGTAGCTGTCGTCGAGGCGCCGCAGCGCCGCCGACGACTCGCTCAGCGTCTGGTGCGCGTACTCGCTGCGGCCCAGCTCCGACGCGACGAGGTCGTGAGCTCGCCGCAGCGACGCCGTCACGCTGCTGCTCGCGCCCACGGTCCGCTGATCCTCCTCGGAAAGCCCGGACCGACTCTGGTGGATGCTCCGGGGTTGGTGGTGGCGGGGATATATTTGCTGCTGGGTGGTGGTGGCAGCGGCAGCGGCAGCGGCAGCAGTCTCGTCGTTTTCGTCGAGGGGTTCGGATTCGGGGACCGGTGCGGAATATGATTGGAGTAGAAGTTTTCGCTCGAGCTTTTGCACCTCGACCAAGTTTCTTTTAGCTTGTAGCCGCGCTTTTCGAAACGCTACGCGGAGTCTACCAAGATTCTCTAGTTAGCACGCAAAGAACCCGAAAGGAAAAAAAGAAGAAGTGGAAGAAACAGAAACAGTCTCGCCTAAATCATGTGCAAACATACTTTGTAAGCTCAGTGCCCACGCGCACGACGCCTTCCATCAGCCTCTCCTTTTCGTGGCCGTCGGGCCGCACGTAGTTGGCCTCTTCCCGGAGCAGCTCCTGCTCCTCGACGCCGGCTTTGAGTAGCTGCGCAATCTCGGCGCTCAGCTCGCCGAGGACGCCGCCATCCTCGTCGTCGTCGGTGCTCACATCGGGCACCGCACCTGGCTGGAAGGTGAGGTGGGCGAGACGGTCGACGAGCGTCCGGAGCTGGCCCGTCGAGTCGTGGAGGGCCGTCAGGCGCTCCTGCAGCCCTGCAAACGACATGATGGTTTTCGCGCGGCCGGGGGGGGGGGGGGGGGGGGGGATAGAGGTGAAGCAGAACAGACAAAATCAAAGAGCTTATTAGGTTCCGATGGATTTGAGATTAGGAGTAGTCTTATTGGGTCCTTGCGATTTGTCGTAGAATGAATTCAAGCCGTTTGATATCGGACCAACTTCAAGCTGTCCTCAAAGTAGTGACGAAATGCCGACCTGAGCTAAAAGTTGTGGTGGAGCACGCGAAATGTTATGCAACAACCGGGGCTCCGGGGCCGCAAGTTCGCCCAAACCTTTGACATTGGCTTCAAGAAAAGGGACAACACTCCCAACCCGATTGCTTTCAAACGCCCCGCCAATTCCTCGACGCCCGACACAATGATTACCAAATACATGACCGAAATCACCGCGCGCTTCAATCCCTTTTCGGCGTGCGCCAAGCCCGCGCGGCTGTTTCTGACTTTGCTGCCGCCGAATGCGCGATCGAGCGGGACGACCATCAACACGACGCTCCTGCCGCGCACGTCGACGGAGCCGAGCTCGGTGGCCGTCAAGTTTAGTACGTTCTTGGTGTGTGGCGGCAAGTGGCAAGGTTGCGTACTAACTGTGTTGAAACAGAGGACGGCAAGGAACTAAAGTTCAACACGGGCAAAATCACCATCAAGGGCCTGGTCGAGGAAATGGACCGACATTCGCGACAGCTGCAGAAAAAGGCTGATCTTTCAGATTGAACATCGTGTACAATTACGAGCACATACTTTGCATTTTTGAACGGCGTTTTATGGGACCTACAAAAGCCACCTACTACCTCGCCTGGGCGTAGGATAGTGTACAACTAGAGGATCAAAACTTTTCAAATATATTTGCCAGAAGCGTTTTGCCTGGTGTCAAATAACGACGCCACATGATCCTCCTTCCACACAATTTTTTCTTCTCATGGCCCGCTTAAGCAGAGGCGCCGCTGATGAAGAACCACTTGTCAATGGAGCTGTCAATCTTCTCAGGAGGAATCTCCTGGTTGGCAGGCAGAGGAGGGAGCTGGTCGGGGGTGATGCGAGCAGGAGAGTGAGACACGGTGACGTTGGCGCTGTCCAGTTGTTAGCATCATGCGACATTCGGGGGAAATGGTTCAACGTACATAGAGACGTCGCCGGCGGGGGTCTTGCCAGTGATGAGACGTTCCCAGGCCTCGCCGCACTCGCGAATGACGTCGAGGGCATAACTAAAAAAATGTCAGCAACGAATCTACCAAGTCAAGTACTCAAAAATCTTACGCCTTGTTCTTGCACTCGCCGGAAAAGGCAAACTGGTTCTCGGGCTTGCCGTCGGGGATCTTGTAGATGCGGAACCACTCGTTGGTGGCACGAAGGAGGCCAGGCAGGTGGCGCTCAACGTCCTCAACGTCGTTGAGCTTGGGAGCGAGCGGGTCGTTGACGTCAATAACGATGACCTTCCAGTCAGTCTCCTCCTCGTCAAGGAGGGCCATGACACCGAGAACCTTGACCTGCTTGACCTGGCCAGGGTAGCCGACAAGCTCGCCAATCTCGCAGACGTCGAGAGGGTCGTTGTCACCCTTGGCCTTGGTCTCGGGGTGGACGGAGTTGGGGTCCTCCCAAGTCTGCAAAGCCGCGAGAGTTAGTCACGGTGAAGTCGCGATGAGGTGGTGTGTATTGTATTTGTCTGCATACCTGGGGGAAGGCACCGTAGTTCCAGAGGTAGCCCTTGTGGGGGAAGCAGTTGCGGACGAAGCGAAGCTTGCCCTTCTTCACATCCTGCTTGATGGGGTTGAGGAGTTCCTCCTTGGAGATCTACAAAGAATACGTGTTAGCAGGTATCTTGGACCCTTGTGACGCTCGTATAGCAGGCTGCGTCATTTCATCGCGGGGTTAAAAACGAAACGCGACGACCGGGCAAACGGCCTAGCAACCTCACGGCAAGAGACAGGACAGCAGCGTACCTCTAGCTTGCCATTAGTCCATCGAGGAATCTCGACAACCATGTTCAGAATGGTCTGCTCCTGATTGGCGTAGAGCGGGATGTCGTGGAAGGGGGAGACGGGGACGCCATCCTTCTCAATGTAGACTCGGTGCTTGAGGGTGTTGGGAGCCTCAATCTTGCGGACCGTGTAAGCGGACGAGGACGCCATGGTGGACAGGGCACGGTGCGTGCGCGGCGCGTTGCTCTGGAGGTGATTTGCGATTTGAGAGGTGCGCTGAAGTGGCGATGGGGAGGAGGAGAAGGAGGAGGCGGAGGAGGGGAAGCGAGAAGAAGCTGCAGCAGAGAACTTGGTGGCAGATGGAGGGGGCGGGGCGCCACCAGCCGCACCACCACCCAGACCCATCTTTGATGAGGCAAGGCGAGCGGCCGTAGTAGAGGTACCAGTCAAAATCGTGCGGCGCCGTCCTGCGCAGGCGCTGACTGCGTGATTGGCCCGACCCGGTAAAAGCGACACACGGTGTAAGGCGTGATGCTGGAGGCTTGTTGGCGCTTTCATGGAGAGGGCCAGGATAAAAAAGGGACAAGGCGGGAAAAGACGACAAGAGAACCAGACAAAACGACGCGGAGCCCCCGGGAAATTCAGGGTTAGCCGCTCGGGGCGCGCCGGTCAATCGCGGAGAGCAGAGAGGTTGCACCCGGCCGAGGCTGTTTGCGATTGAGCGTTGAAAGGAAGGACGAGAGCCAATTCAAAGAGGCCGACTTCGGGATTGGGAAAAACGCTCTTCGTTGCACCGCGAGAAGACGACAACGAGTAGATATACCTGGGAACCAGCAAATGAGGAAAATAGGGGCGGCATTTCTTTCTTTTAGTGGATGGGGCGCCGCCGAGGACCTACACAGCGCTGTGGCTTTGCGCCCTCAGGCCTCAACGGTCCCCAAGGGTGTTAAAGTCGATGGCGCAATCTACGAATCTACGGTCATGCATATCTATATCAGCATAATCCCGGACGATAATCAATATTGATAGCCATGAGATTAAAGATTAGCCAGTATGATCAAGCATTTGCACTCGATACTCGAGTACCATGCGAATGTACAGCCATTGCAATTTTATCCGTCGCCTAGAGTTGCCCAACAGTGGCCGCTTGCAACTCGACATCCTCAGTCTAGCGAACAAAACACATTCAAGCAGGCAGGGGATATGATGCATTAATGATTCATAGCCTCCGTTACTATCAAAGCAAATACTCCTTTAAAAAAGCTGCCCTCCAAATAAAAGCGAGACAGGTGCAGATAATCGTTCCAAAACCATAGCATTAGGTATCAATCACGCCAAAGCCCGTCATCGCCCCAATTAAACGGCTGTGGCCTTCTCAGCAACAACATCGTCCACTTTGAGCTCTGGTGCCTTGCCCTCATCCTCGGCGACGACTCCAACATCGGCACTGGTACTCTGGGTAACCTCAGCACCCTCGGCGTGGTAGTGGTCAGTCTCGGGCTGCCAGTCGCGAAGATCGTCCTCGGCGTCGTTGAGAACCTGGCGAGCCTGACTGGCGTGGTGGTAGACGGGTTTGGCGTCACCGGGAACAACTGGGGTGTCGTCGAGGAGCTGGAGCAGACGGCGACCGTGCTTGGCCAGGATAATCTGCTTCTCGGCGCGCTCAATGGTGGCGGCAAATTCGGCCTCGTACGCTTCTTTGAGCTTCTGACGAGTCTGTTGGCGGATAAGTTAGCACATGAATTCTTTTGTAGACTGGCTAGTTGCCAAAAAGCTCTACTTACAACGTTGGTGAGCTGAGCCTCGGCGACGAGGTTCTCAGCCTCGGCACGGACAAGCTCCTGCTCGAGAACAACCAGCTTGGCACTCTCGGGCTCCTTCAACTTGAGGCGCTGAATCTCGTCGGCAATCTTGGCTTTGCCGTCGCGGCTGGGCTGGACGCTCTTCTCCGTGTTACGGATGGCCTTGAGGTAGCCGCGCGACTCGTCAATGGCGTGGGCGTACGTGTCCTCTTGCTCGCCGATCTCGCTGAGGATAACGCCCACCTTGTCGGAGACGTCGTTAATAGCCTCGTCGCCGGTCTGCTCGCCCCACTCGGAAAGCTGGGTAGCAATAGAGACGCGCTCACGGCCGGCGGCCTCGTGCGCGTTGATCAGGTTGTTCTCCGACTTGATGAGGCGAAAGAGCTTCTTGGACAGCTCGGGCTGAACAGTGCCGCGGAGCGAGCTGAGAGAGAAGCCGCTCATCTTGTTGGCGCCGGCGCCGGCGGAGTTCTTGTTGGAACCGCCGGATCGGATGGAAAAGGCGCGGTTCCTGTGTGGAAGCTTCGAGTCAGTCAGAGACTCGCTGTGAGAGGACGAGTGTCGGCGAGAAATGAGGCGCATCAAGGCACCGTCGTCGAAACTGCGACGGCCCATGATTTCATGAGGCAGAAAATAAAAGCGACCAGAAAACAGAGCGTAGGAGATTCTTGACGCTGTGGCGACTTACATTGTGAAGGAAGCTCCGCGTAGGATATGCGAGACTGCGACACGTTAGCAACGGCGTGTCTTGATGAGTGGCGGAAGCTGCGGGTTGCCCGTTTGCGCATTTTTTTTGAGCGGTAGGAAGCTCCTTCCGTGGCAGTGCAATCGAGGAACGACGTACTTGGAGATTGACAAGGTTATTAGCAGACTTATGAACTTATGCCCTGCAGCTTTTGATATTATTGCAAGCGAAGCAAGGATAAAGCTTGGGTATAAAATCGAGTCGAGCTTCAATGTGCAGATGTGATCGACAAGTTTGGCGGAGCTACGACGTGCAAGGCTACGAGCATATATTTAAGAGGGCATAAGAAAAAAGGTAAGATCCAGTTATGACGAGAACCTAAGGCCAGCTCCGGCACCTTGCCACGAGACAGCAGCTGGACAGCGAAAACCTTGGCTGGCTGTCAGCGACGTGCGAGCTCTCAAATGGACGAGAGCGGCGGCCTTGGTTGTGCTGGAGGCGGAGGGGATGGGAATGCGTCATGATGTCATGCAAGCGGCCCATGGCGGCGTCACCGCAGCGAAAAGAGGCCATTGAACCCCGCCCCCGCCTGGGTAGCTAAGCATCACCGCAGCCTTGGGGATGATCAATTTGTGATGAAAGCTGCCGTTTCTGAAGCTGATCAGAAGCTCGCAACTTCAATTGGATTTATCCTCGCTGCAGCAGCGCTCCCAATGCGACGCGGCCTTGGCACTCCTACACCGACGCCAACTGCTTGTCAAACATGTACACACATTGGCACCCAAGATAAACGGCACTTTCGATCCTTTGAATTGAATTTGATGATGTAATGCCAATCTATACCGTTGGAACCAAAAAACAATAAAATAAAAAAAATTCCAGGCGCCCACGACTCCGTTTTCATTCTCCCCGCCCTGGAACTTGTCTTGCGTCATGGCCAATGCCCCGTAATTCTCACAAACCTAAATACAGAACAACCAGAACGAAAGCGCCGGCCCCAGGCTGTAGAAGCTGAGAAGAAGTAAATAAATAAAAAAAGACTCGCGCGCCCAGGCTTCGGGGACGATAAGAACAATGGGAATTCTTCCCCGGAATTCTTCCCATGCTGGTGAACACACAACTTTGATGGGTGATGCGCAGGCAACAGCTTGCTGTGCCCGCTGTCATTATGTTGCTTTGCGAGAGGACAGGCCGGTTTAAAAGCCACCCCCGTGGCGCCCGCCGTGATGACCACCACCTCCGTGATGACCTCCTCCATGATGACCTCCGCCATGACGACCCCCAAAACCACCCCCGCCGCCGCCATAATGGCCGCCGCCGTGATGGCCACCGCCGTGATGGCCACCGAAGCCGCCGCCGCCTCCGTGGTGCCCTCCCCCGCGAACCCTTGCCCGCCGCCGCCGCCCATCGGACCCATGCCCATGCCCATGCCACCACCTCCCGGTCGCCGTCCCCCACCAAACAGACTGCCGACGACCGCCGCCGAGACCGCCGCCGCCGCTCTGACGACCACCGCTGCCCAGCAACCCTCCCAGCATGCTCATGCCGCCG